CGAAAATCCTCCATGCGACGGCCATTTTCACTGCCCGGTAAGCGAGGAAAGGACACAAAAATGCTGCGGGCGGCCATTTTTTTTACCCGGCAGCCATTTTGGAACCGCCAATCAGCTGTTTAAAAAACATCGTTATGCAACAATCGGTAAGCAAAATGCTTACCGATCATGGCAAAGCGATGTTTACCCATCTAAAACATCGCATTGCGATCGCAGAAACCTCATCGCTATGCGGATTCGTCGTTAAACGAATCGCTCGTTATGCGGGGCACCACTGTATTGTGTATATATGCTCAGTACCCCCATATCTGCGGGACCAGTACCTGCTGGTTCACTTATCCACAGTCTGAAAATATTAAAAGAAACACCCTAGAAATATACATTTCTAAAGATGAAGTTCGTAGAACTGGCCACTAGAGGAAGGCATACAATGTTTTATGTATAGCATTCACTATAATCCATGTGTGGTTTTTGTTTGTTTGTTTGTTTCAAAAACTTCAATAAATTTTTGTAAGAGATACTACTTCAAAAATGTAAGGACATCTCAAGGAAAAAAAAGTGCTTATTTTTCATTGACAATAATATTTGCATTGGGTCTCGGTGTTGACTTTTAATTTTAAATTACAAATTGAATTCTTCCTTTAAAAAGGGTTGGAAGACAACAAAGGGGAGGCGGGAGGGTTTCTCAGAAGCCAAAATGGGAGAATTTGGGAACCGCTAGATCGAAGGGGGAGTCGGCGGGTTTGCCACAGTTAAACCGAGCAGCTACTTGTATATGTCTCCAGTAATAGCTTTGTTAAATATGATTAATAAAAATCAATTCAAGGGAGAAGAAAAGGAACTAATTATTACTATGGCGAACGTGGCAAGGCTGATATTTGCAAAGAACTGGAAGAATAACCACCAGTTTAATATGGAGAAATGGTATAAAGAATGGTGGAATATGGCCATTGTCTAGTGATAAATTAATCTGTGAAACCAAGATTAGAACAGAAATGTTGAATATTAATGTTCTTAAAGAAATATGGAATTTATTTTCGGTATATGTGTTTGAGAAAGGCAAAGGGTATACTCCTGCAGATGAATGATTGTAGTACAGTATTTCTGGAGAGAAATGGGGTGTTATAAAACATAATGAAAAAATGAAATAGAAAACTAGTCCCAACAGTGATGGAGAAGAGCACAGTTTGATCATTGGAGGGGGAGGGGGGGTCTTCTTAAATCGATACGTTAGTAGTGTTTTGTATATTTGTTCTTGTTACGTTATTGGAAATTAATAAAATAATATTAATAAATAATATTTAATAATATTTAATTAATAAATACATAATATTAATTATTTATTAATTAATAAAATATTAATTAATAAAAAATAAACTGGTCAGCTGTGACTTGGGAGATATCCAGTACAACATTCACTGCAAGATGGAACTACAAGGAATAACAAATGTGGGAAATGCTACAGGTTAGGGCTGGGCTGGATGTCTCCCCCCCCCCAATTGACCACCTCACACAAAAGGAAAGGTGAACCAGCTCAGAGAAAAGTGTAGTTTTTCCCTCTGCCAGCAGGGCTTCTACTTTTTCTAAAATCAAAATCCATTCATATTGGTTCAAGCATGTGA